CATCTCCATGCTGAAAAATGGTGGCGGGGGTACTTTAACTAAACCTAAAGTGTCTAAGCTGTCATTTTTCAGTGCAGGAATGCTGATGCACTTGATGCTGTCAGAGCTGCTCTACTTAAAGCGTCCCCCCTCCACTCTCGGAGTATGTGTATAATTGCCCTAAGAGCCTAGTTAAAATGCTGTGCTTCATGCAAGTTAGGTGCTCCTTTCCATGCCAGAAACAGCTGCATTTTCATAGCATTGCCTGGCGGGGGGAGGAATCTGTGGTGGAGATCACAAGCGGATGTGGTGCAAATGAGGTCTGAGATCTGAATCTCAGCATCTCCTGCTGGTTTGAAGAACTGAGCTAAAGCCCACGCTGCAGACCTGGAGGGCTTGGCACACTTGCAGCTGGGGTCTGAGCTGCATGGCTTTGACTCATCTCAGTCAAGGAAACAAAATATAACTTAGAAACTTGGGGGCCCAGGCAGAACTGTTACTGCCAGGCATGGTCAGAAGGGTAGGTGGGGGGAGGCACATTATTTCTCTATGATGCTTTCATTGTGTGGGGCTTGTTCCTTCTCTCCCCACCTATATGGTGTCCCATCTTCAAGGCGGGTGCATGAAGGGTTAATTATGTTTTCCCCCACCCCCTAGCCCCCCTTGCACTCCCCCCTGCAGAAAGAGCTCATTTCCAAAAGCAGCTGGGGCAGGGAGATGCAAATAAGTGTTTTGGACAGCTGCAGGCTGGATGCTTTCCCGAGATGCCAGGGCCCCAAATGAGACATGTCAGAGTACAAATTGAAAATGCCAATTTCACTTACGCGGCCACGCTGCTCGTCACAGCTAAATTCTGCTCCACGGCTCCTCCCCCCCACTCCCACTTCTGAGCCTGCCAAGTCTGGGACTCCACCTGCTTGTGTGGCACTTGCTGCTCCCCAAGTGCCTTGGTGCGAGGGCTCCCTCAGCCTCTGCCCTCGTACAGGGATGGAGGGAAGGGGCTTGGAAGCGCACACCTGCTGAGTTTCTAGTCCTTTTCTGTCCCTGTCATCGTGGGGCCCATAGTCACAGTCCCTGGAGCTCAGGGAAGGTCTTTCCCTGTATATGATACACCATGGAGGATGGGGTAGGGTGGGAGCCTTCCCAGGAGCACCGCTGGCTCCGTGGGCTCTGGGCTGGGTGGCAGCAGGCTTCAGTTCAGCCTTGGTGGTAGCAGTGATGCTCTGTTGAAGAGGCAGGCTCTAAATCAGAGCTTTCTGCCACTTGAGGTCATCAGTGGTCTGACAGCAGTTTCAGCTGCATGGACCAGCCCTCATTGCGTCCAGTCATAAGCTGCTCTTCCCTGCTGAACAGCTGCTGGCTTCTGCCTCAGAAGTGTGGTATTTTACTTCTGGGGACAGTGACGGCTGGATCTGGCTGTGCAGTCCTGTCAGACTTGCACTGTAGGGACAGAACTGAGGGCAGAATTCAGCCCATCCTTAGCAGATGGCTTGTGGGGATCTTTGGGGACCAGGGCCATGTGTAAGGGTGTGCATGCACATATGTGGGTTTTTTTTTGGGGGGGGGGGGGGGCCGTTCCAACACGCTCCTCGGGG